GAAGCAAGTCTAACCCCTACTGTTGCCCTGGACTTCAGTAGAAGCTATAAACTCATGAATTTGTACTATTATCTTTCTTAATGTTTCTAACATTCAGCTTATTTTATGTTGATGCGATTCAGGTGTAATCTATCAATATTATTGATTTGATGTTATTTAAACATTAATGTTGTTTATAACACTAACTCATTCATTCACTATAATGTATGTATAAATGTAGAGCCTGATGATGAAGGGGTTCTCGAAAAGAGTACTCTTTGTTCAGTATCCATTCTTTTGAATATTTTAATGGGCATTTTTAATCAGTTAAAATAATATTCACTGTTTATTTATGTCTCTAAAATTTAATCCTAAAAATACCAATCCTAATAGTTGATGTTAATATTATTCATTCTGCCAATAGTCAGCAGTTCTATTTGTTTAGTATTAATATATATTTGGCCAGATTATAGGAAGTTGGAGATCAGAATTTATGGAATTAACTTATTTCATATCAATTGAATAGTCAGTCCATTGTACATATTTTCGATTCTTTGCATTCCGAATAGAATACATGTCTACAATCCTGTACATCTTCAGTGGGTATTCTTATGCCCAACTTCCCCTGTTTTCAGGGCTTAATACTGGCAAATATGATGACTTCACCATGTGGCTGATGAGCATTTTACCACAAACTAAGGCGTACTGGACAGAATTTTCGTCATTGTTTACAACTGTCCAACAGTTATACTCCCATGAATCCATGGGGAGTAATGGCAGTCTGATAAACTGGTCAGCTACTGGGGCAGATTTTGCATTGGCTAAAAGCAATTCTAATGGGTATACTTAATATTATACACTTAAGATTAACATTCCCTATCCAGCGATCATCAATCGATGCAGTGAGCCTTTGAAGATATTGTGGAAATCCTCTACATTTTATCACTTAAAAGCCTTTATCTATTTCCCTCAGCATTACTTAGTTCAATAATGACTTACGTTTTATTATTATTATTATTCTTTTGGGTTCAAAGTGGATCATATGGCTTCAACAGCAAAATCTTGATGTCACTCTAATCATTGCAGTTCCGTTTAGCTGACTTGAAAATTGCCTATTAGCTCTCACCTCTTCTTCACACGATCTCCTCAATATCACCTTCTGACCAGTACCCAATTTGTTGTTTCCAATTAGAGTTTGTGATGTCATTTCTTCCTGTATATTTGTTAAGTGATAGGCTATCGCTGCATTCTCTTCCACAGTTCCCTGTCGCTTTTCCTTTCTAGCTGACCGTCTTATTTTCATCACAGACAGAATGATAAAAGTTAACAGCATTCTGTTGAAAATTCCATTCTTGAAGCTCTTAGAAACTGTCTGAATCACATAGAAGTAAACCTTTGTCGTCAGAAATTGAAAATCTGGATCCCACTTCACATTGATTTTAGAAGATCTACTAGACGTAATGGTAATGACAGCGTTTGAAGTGGCCATCATAGTTGCGGCAAGACCAAACTTTAGGGCAGGTTTACATATCTACAGTCCGCGTAAGTCACTTAATAGGGATGACTTGCACAGTACAGCGGGCAAACTGTTTTCCACTCACTTGGTAATTTGATCATGTCGTTTTTAGCAACATTTTCCAATGAATTATTGATTGTTTAATAATAATAATAATAATAATTTCGCTTTTATGCCAGAAACAGGACTAGTGGTACAGTATGGAATTTTCAGCACATACCTATAATATTGCATCTAATTTCATCACACATTTTAAAAAGTATTAGAAAAATAAATGTAAAAAACGACAACAAAAACCAAACAGAAACACAAAAATAGCAAAAAACATGCAAAAAATACCTAGTAGAAAGGAAGATAAAAACAACAATAATAAATAATATTTCAGTAATGGGTAGTGGAAGCTATGATATGTGTATGCATGGTGAACAGTTACAGCTATAATCCTACAAGAAGTTATGAAATATGCTTGAGAATGTTTACAGCCAAGATGGTCAGTTAATTTGATTGAACTACACTAGACAATCGTAAAATAAACATTTCAGGGTTTCTTTACTGTCAGCTCTAATGCGGTGTTTGTAGTGGTGGTAAGAGTATTCATGCATAATACAAAATTTATTAGGATGGTGATAACGGCGTTCACAACCAAGATTGTCAGTTAAATAGTGCCGAACAAAAAACACAATCACAAAACTATTATTACATGATGGTTAATGCCAGGACAATTTTGTGATACTCATAGTGATAATATAGTCGGATTCAGTAAATATACAAAAGAAGGAATAGAGTAAAGTACAAAAAAAGTAAGCCAATGATAATAATTTTAAGTAGCTAAGTATGTTTAAGAAGATTGTTCACTATAGAGTACAAATAAGAGAGTATAAGGGGAAATAACAAGGGCCAAAATTATGTTATTAACAACAAAGCAAGTCATAGGTTCCACGCTTAACATAGTCTCCGTCACTTAGAACACGGGCCAAATATGGTATCGTTGAGTTCCTATACTTGGTTGTACGTGCATATATTATTTTGTACTGATTTCTGTTTCTACCTGATGAGATGCAAGGAGAGGCTTGGGAATAGAAAGGGTGTTGGGGGTCGGAGAGTATGGTTTTAGACCATTTTTGGCATGTATTCAGATGCTTATCTACTAATGTAGTGACTAGCTGACTGAGTTTTACACCACTATTCTTACTAAATACCCTCAACATCCTTCTCAGGATGGTATAGTCAGTCTCTTTTCAGTAGCCCAGGAAAGACTAATGGGGAGCAGTAAAGTAGAATAGGTAAGATACGAGAGTTGACGAATTGCGAAAGCAGAGGTTGAGTGATTCCAGTTAGTCTGAGTTTCTTGTTTACGCCTAAAGGAGAAGTCAATAGTCTGGCATTTTTAGGGATTCAGCATGAGGCCATTTAGTTTTGACCACTGACTGATGTCCGACAGGAAGCTATTTAATTTGAAACAGACTGACTGAAACTTATTGAGAGGCGAAACAGTCAGGTCATCTGCATATTTGACGAAGTTGATTTCGTCTGAAAGAGGCAATTCATGTAACAAGAAGGAAAAGAGAAACGGCGAGAGAACAGCACCCTGAGAAACTCCAGCTTCATTAAGCAAAGGAGAGGAAGCTACACCATTATATGCCGTGTACTGAATCCTATTAGGGAAGTAAGAGTGCAGTCATTGGATAGCCCAGGACTCAGTTTGTGTAAGGCTAAGCTTGTTAAGCAAAAGGCCTCTAGGTACAGAGTCGATGTAAAAGGTCTAATCAAGGAACGTACAACGGACATACTTGGCCCATGTGTCTAAGGAGGATACAATGTTGTGATGAAACACAGTAGCAGTGTCTAATGTACTTCTACCCTGTTTGTAAGCAAACTGCTTTGGATAATTTGAGAAGCTTAGGGAGGGAACAAGTTTTAGTAACAATAATGTATCCATTAGTTTCAAAAAAGAAGAGGTAATAGCAATAGGTCTAAACTTAACACTATTTGCACAACCAGACTTTGATACAGGGATGATTTTGATATCTTTCCACTGAGAAGGTACAACATTATTAGAAAAAGAAGTATTGAAAATGTTTGTAATTGGGTAACTTAGAATATTATCACATTTCCTTAAAACAATGGCAGGTATGCCATCAGGGCCAAGATTCTGAAAGGGTTTAAGAGATTTGGTTAATAATTACTTGCGTTTTCCAGTATTGGTTTGTAGGGATTTCGTTTGATTGGATGAAGGATTTCATCATGAGCTGACATAAGCATCAGTTAAAGAACGACTGGAAAACCATTGAGGAGTACTTGACAACCAGCCGTTTCGTTCTACTTCGAGAGTCTTCATCAGTACGTGCCAACCGGCAGGGTTCGAACCAAGGACTTTCTGGTTACAAGGTGAGCTCGTTGAACCTTAAGCCACTGCGTCCCGATCGAATGACCAGTCCATAAATTCTAACTTTCGCTAGTTCACGACATAGTGTGACCAATTCGCAATGTCTTTTTCGATGAGTTTTTGCCTCAACCTTCAACCTGCTGTACCCTACTAGTCACAGGTTTCAAACAGAACCCCAGTTCACCGCCTGAATAGGGAAAGTCGCTAGTGTGCATCAGATTAATTTTCAAATATTTGTATTGCAGGGATTTCGTTTATTTGGATGAACGATTTCATCATGAGCTGACATCAGTTAGAGAACCACTTTTAAGCGGCCCCAAACTAGGACGAAACGACTGTACAGTACTTTTAGATTTCCCAGTGGTTCCCTAACTGATATCAGCTCTTGAAGGTATCTTCCATCCAACTGAACTAAATCCTTACAAAACTAATACTCGAAAATTCGTCTGATGTTCACTAGCGACTCGCCCTATTCAGGCAGTTGATTTGGGGTTCTAGTGGGAAGCCGTGACCGGTAAGTTACAGCAGATTGAAGATGATGCAGTAACTCATCGAAGAAGATATTGTGAAATGGTCTCGCTATGTCGTGAATTAACAGAAGTTAGAATTCATGGGCCATTTGTTTATGGCTCATTGGCCGAATGGTCTACGAGCTCACTAGCCTTGTAACCAGAAGGCTCTTGGTTAGAACCCTACATATCGATCAAGTGTCCCAAATTAGGACGAAACAGTTGACTGTCCAGTATTCTAGTGCTCGTTTTCCAGTAGCTCTCTAACTTATATCAGCTCATGATGAAATCCTCCATCGAATACTTAAGTTGTTTTAAGAAAATAAACTATCCAGTAGGTGTAAAGTGAACTTATTTAGATTTCATAATTTGATTTCATCTACCTCCAACTTATAACTATTTAGTTTTAGTTAGGTGATATAAATAATGATAAATACTCACTTCAAGGATATTGACGTGTTTTGTTTATTTTGTAATTGAATAAATTAGAAATCAGAAATGCCTAGGTGAAGGGGGAGTGAGTTACATTTTTCTTATTTTGTTTATTTTTACTTGACTGAGTTTATTTCTGTTAATTTTTTTTTGTTTTTACAACTGTCCATTATCTTAGGTAATTCTGAAACGGATCAGTAATAAACCGTCTTTTGGACAAATGGCTTGTTTCTACTTTGCTTTGGGTAAGCACCTCCCCCCCTTTGTTTATTCTACGCTATAATCACTACTAATTTGACTGTACACATATTAAACAGTAATATATATATATAGGATTTCATCATCAGCTGACATTGATTAGAGAACCATTGGAAAACCAGCCACTGGGAGTACTGGACAGCCAGCTGTTTCGTCAGCCTGGTTTGGGACTCTTCATCAGTATGCACTCACTACAGGGTGTTTGAACCAGGACCTTCTGGTTCTCTAACCAATGTCAGCTCATGATGAACTCCTGTAACCAACCAATCAAATCCCTACAAACCAATACTTGAATATTAATGTATATATATATACTGGGATCTTATCAGACATCTGTTCTAAAGACTAGACGACACGCATTCATCACTGAACGAGTTTTTTAGTCATAGAATACTCACAAGATTGTGCAAGTGGCTCAAGGTTGATTCATGGCCAACGCATTCAGGTGTGGCAAGGAGGAAAGTTTTGATGTGAGGCTAGTAACTCTAACCTGTAACATTAAAATACCACCGTTCCTAAAACGACGAACCTTGTAGGAAAAATCTTTAGTTTTGTCCACATCTCTATTTTCAAGGTGATATTTCACTAGGGTCTCCCTTTTGGCAACCTAAAATACTCCAGTTACTATATGAGTAAAACTTGGCGCTGTGGTGATAGTAAGTAATTCCATATTAGTTTGTTTATTAGATGTATCACACAGTCACTGAAACAGTATTATTCACTGGATGACACAGTTTCGAACACGATCTACTGTTGTTCATAATCATATCAATTTGATCACACGACTTTGAAACTTGAGTTTTATAGTTTTCTTTCTCGTCTCCTATTTGTCGTGTGCGCAGTAGAATTTTCCATATATCTCGGACAGGTGTCGAATCGTTTCTGTTACATGTATTCACAGTTGATTCGATAAACAAAGCTTCTGTTATCAATCTCTCCCTATACCCTGTGACATTAGATTTTAAAACTGTCATCTTATCCCATCCCATCCTATTGCATTGTTGTGTGTAATTACATGTAGTGAGTGGTATAGCTGAACTATTCTCGAGATTTCTTATTTTATTTGGGTCAACCAATCTAGATTTTGCTAAGGTTTTATGTTCGGATAGTCTGACTGACTGCACCTGTTCTACCACTTTGACCTATGTATTTGACCTGACAATCATTGAAGTCAGGCAGGGTATTAGATAAACTAATTGTTTTGTTTTAAAGGCTCCACAGGATTGATCCTTTAACCGACAAAGCTTGTTTCTAATTGAGCTTGTTATTGGTTTTAATACCAGCCACTTTTATTCCTGAGTTGTAGGAATTCTGCGTAAGGTGGTTTCCGAGGTTCCTTCCTTGTATGGAATTACTGTTGATGATTTACATTCCTTATTGTTAGTGTCGTCATTAATATTTTTATTATCACTATTATTATTACCTTTTTTATTATTATCATTATTATTATTATTACTATCACTATTATTATTTTTTTATTTTTACATATTTCTTGACTAATTTATCCGGGCAATTATTAAGTTTCAAGGCTTCTTTTATGTGTGTCACTTCCTGTCTCAGATTTTCCTTGGTACTACTTAGTTTTTGTGCTCTGTTACTTAAACATTTCACTAATCCTATTTTCACTGACATAGGATGGGATGATCGGAAGTCCAAATATCTGTTTGAATGTGTGGGTTTCCTGTAAACACACACTAGTATTTAACTTCCCATCTTCTTTCCTTTTTACGCTGCAATCTAACATTGGAAGCCCTCTCCCCTTCTTGACTTTCCAATCATAAGTGAATTGAATTACCTCTACCTTCGAGTTAATGTGTTCGAAAAATCTATCTATATCTTGTGTTCTAAGTGCAGTGAATGTGTCACCCACATACCTCCACTATACTTTTGGGGTGGGTGGGGGTGAACGTTTCAATCGCTAAACAGTTGTGAAGATGTATGCTGATGTTGCATAATATTAGCTCTAGATTTCTGCCTGTTGTTTAGATGCTATTCATGGCACTAAACAGATGACAGCATTTCCATTTTTCATAGGAAACCTAATGGTGAAAATGGAGTTTGAACTGTGTTCTTCGCCATTAACTAAATGTATTCTTGAGTTGTAAATTTTCTGAAATAGTAAATCAATGTTAGTGTGATGTGAGAGAACACAAGGAGAACGATGTGTGTATCTAACACCACAGGAGATCGACTTGCTTCAGCTGTCGTTTGAAGTACACTGTACTCGTTCTGACGACATAATTAAAAAAATCGTTATGCTTAATAGTGAGTGTTTCAATATCTACTGAACTCCAGTTAATCATCCATAGATTCAGATAACTTCAAATTCGTTTTCAGAGTAATTTATTGCCAGTTTCATTGCTATGGCAGCTGAAGCCCTTTGCTCCACTAGGAACTAAAGGATACAATAATAATAATAATTCACTGCTATGAAGCGTATTCTATTAGCAAGTCGCTTAAAGTCATCTTTTGCTTCAGGCATAGAAGATTTAAATGTAGACAGACTAATCGTGAATAGACTTTAAACTGCTTGAAAGTTTTATTTGTTGAAATGAACATTTTGAATTTATCATTGACCGATTTAGTCGGTCTAAAAGACTTGATTTCTACTGACAATACGAATTCTAGCACAAGTGCTTTCAAGCTGTCCTAAGGTTAACATGTTGTGTTATTCAGCTGATGTTGACTAGCTTTGGAGATTACCAGGAACGTTTCGGTTGGCCAGGTATCATTGTAATAGACTAAAGGCACCGTCAGAGCTTGCCTACTAAGAACGAACATGTCCACAGTGACTGAGTGTTTCAGTCCAGTCAACGGAAAATTCAAGATAAGAATTTTAAAAAATAACGACTTACGGTCGTTGCACAGAAGACCGGTCCTCTTAACAATGTATTCGAATCGATAAGAGTCATAAATACCACTCACAATAGAAGCAGATATATGTAGCTCCCGATTCCACTTCTTGCTCTGACTATTAAGATAGTCAGGGTCCTTGTTGAAAAGAATTAAATGAAGATTTAAGAACTCTCGTTCACATTAGAACTAATAGATGTGTTCACTTCATTGTTGAAAAGGTTTGGAAACAAGGATTGATGCCTACCGAATGGAAGAAAGACTTGCTACCTATTCAAGCTACCGAAGAAGGACTAATTACAACTTCGCAAAAATACTAACGTCCAATAATGCTTTTGTCCACGCCAAGTAAAATACGAAGTGTCATCATCCTGGAGAGAGTAAAGGATGCACTGAATGCAGAACTACACTCTTCACCAACCAGAACAAGCTGAGTTCAGGAAAGGCAAATCATGCGCTGATGAAATTGAAAATCCACACATCGTCACCACGCAGTAAAACCTCACTCCATCTCGACAAATTCATTGACTTCGAGAAGACCTTTGACAGACAGTTTTGACTGATGAGTAATTTGGAAACTACTTCAACACTACAGCGTTCAGTACTCAAGTCTTTATCAACCACATTCAACAGTCGGCTGTATGCCAATTTTCTGTTACGTGTCAGGTGATCTAAAACGGAAAACTGAGTGAGGCGTTTGAAGTGAATACAGTAGTAAGATAAGGCTGGCTGCCTATTATCACCGATGGTATTCCTAATTGTGATGGACTGAATTATGCCTCAAAGTGTTGGCGACGAGAAAGCAGCAATACTTTAGGCCACCGACAAGAAGACTCTAGAATACCTGGAGTTCGAATGTAGATGCTTTGTGTTTAATGTCAAACAAACTCAAAGACTTGTAGGCGGAAACCAACAAACTGGTGGAATAGGCGGGCAACAAAAGCAAGGACTCCAGGTGAACCCAGATGAAACCCTGTGTTTTACTCAGAACCCACGGGAAAAATAATGATAAGAGTTATTAATTCATTCAAGTTGAAAACCATTGGCAACAAACAGTACAGCTGTATGTTACATCAACTAATGAGAAATCAAACAGTTATATCTTTCCCAAATCGATCCAGATCGCTGCAACCAAGTAATTCATTAGACATTTTCCTCAGACAATAGTTTTCCACCTTATTCACAGATTAGAAATCGCACAAGAAGTGTAGTAATTTCCAGTTATCTGGTACCTTCATACAGAATCTTAAAGACAGTTGCCTCAAAAACAAAGATCATCAACTCCCATGCATTCACCCATATTCATTATTTGACACTTAAAATCTACTTCGCAATCTCATGAGAATTCTTCAGTAGACACGTGAAGAATTCTCTCACAAAACCTAATTATTTTAAAACAGAACTATAAGAGAAGAATATAAAAAATTAGAGTGTAAAATCAATAAGCATATAGAAATTTTCCAAAACAAATATCAAACATCCTGAGAAGAATGATGGAAAATGCAGGAAGACAGACAGAATGTAAGTTTATTAAATTAACACTATGTCGAAAATATGAAATGACAGGCAAAAAGCTAATTCTCTCTTATGAAGTGAATGAAAGTAAGTGTTGGGAAAAATTCATACAGAAAAAGGATAAATAATGAGAAATTCATACCTTTTCTGGATTGTGTAACCGTACAAATAAGATTATTTATTGGATAATGTATATTGTGGGGATGAAATGAAGCTACAGAATTTCAATTATATCTTATTGTATTCAAGATGTCCAATGAATTGGAGCAAAAAGTGAATATGTATAAACTGTGTAGTGAGACAGAAATTTAGTGTTATGTACTCGTCGCAAAATTATTGTTATATACTGGTCGAGAATTTAATAGTCCTGACGCAAGAAGGCGGAAATCAGAAGACCACTAGGTTTGCGATGATACTTCTATTTTCCAAACACAAGGAGAATGCAAAAGTGGTATCACACCAAAGTGGTCACACAAGATTGTGAGAGCGAAATATATATGAAATGTTCCAGACAAAGTGTGTGAATAAATCATTAGACAGTCTTAACATGAATGGCTAATTATAATGAAGTATCGATCCATATATACATAGCGAAACATAGCAGACATGTCAACAACAA